GTGTCTGAATGCCGTCCAGCCCGGGGCTCACCCTCCAGCAGTCCGTCGGACAACAGTCGAGTGTGATCCGTAGGGTTTTCGCTGATTTTCGCAAATAGATGGCTAGGCATTCTTCCTCGTATGTCTCAGTCTGGAAGCCCCTCTCTAACGTACCCACGGCGGGTGATTTGCTGGAATCTGAACAACGCTTCCAGGGTCACAGCCACGCGGAAGCCACCACAGTCCCACAGACGGACCGGGTGGCTCAGGCGGCGAGGAGCTGCTTTCTGGGACAGCGCAGGTCCCCTCGCACCTGTCACTGCGGGAGGGCTCAGCGCACGAGTCTCCCGGCCCCGCCTCCGCGCCGGAAGCGGCCCGCCCCTTGACCTCTGCCCTCTCCCCGCCCCCGCAGTCATCTGGGCCTGCGTCTGGTTCCTGGGCTTCTGCTTCTTGGCCAATCAGTGGCAGCGCTCGCAGCCCCGGGAGTTCCTGTTGGGCAGCGGCAGCGCGAAGGCCGCCATCGCTTTCTCCTTCTTCTCCGTCCTCGTCTGGGTGAGGCCCGCCCCCGGGAAGCCCAGAACCCGCTGACCTCCCTTTGCTGCCCTGGGTGGGGGGACCCCAGGCCTCTGCCCGCCCTTCCTCCGGCATTGGGTGTCACGGCTCGCTGTCAGCCTCCCGCGGAGCGGCTGGTGGGTTCGAACCACCGACCTCGCAGTACGCAGCCGAGCGCTTTGACCACCGCGCCACCACGGCTGCATTTTCATTGTCCAGTAGCGAAACCGTCCTGGGCCCGGGTGCTTCTCCCCTTCCCCGCTCAAGCCAGCCTCCAGGCCGGCCTTTTCTGCCCACAGGTATTCCAGGCCTACCTGGCCTTCCAGGACCTCCACCAGGACGCCTCTGTCCCCTACAAGCGCTCCCTGGACGAGGGGGCCGTAGTGCTGACCACACTCTCCCCACCCTTGACTGCCAGCCCCGCCAGCTCCTCCACCACCGGCCCCCACCGCCTGAACTACGCCAGCGCCGCCCTGTCCTCCTACCTGAGCACGCCCAAGGCCCCCCGCCTGGCCATGATGCCCGACGAGTGAGCGCCTCAGTAAAGAGACACCCTCCCCCCAGGGGGTGGTGACACAGCCCTGGTCCTCTGCAGTCTGTTCCTGTCTGGTCTCTTGGTGGCCAGGGAGAATCCTAACCGGGCACCTCGGGGTTTTCCACCCACCACCAAAACCAAACTCACTGGCTCAAGTCAATTCCAACTCACAGTGCCCCTGGATGACAGACGGAACTGCCCCAGAGGGTTTCCAAGGCTGTCAGTGTTTATGGAAGCTGACCGTCTCATCGCTCTCCCTCGTAGCAGCTGGTGGGTTCGAACTACTATCCTTTAGGCTTGCAGCCGAATGCTTTAACCACCACCAGGGCTACCACTGTGGGTGGGCTTATCCAACATCAACCTATTTTCTCCCAGTTCAGGCTGCTAGAATACAGACGTCTGAAGCCAGGGTGCTGGTTGTGGAGAAAGTGCTGCCTGTCTGCTCTGTGGATGAATCCTGGTCTCGGCTTTGCGGGCGTTCCTTGGGGACCCCCGCAGGGCATCTGTCTCTGTATTTGTGCCTGCTCCTCTCTGTCTAATCTGTTTTCTTCGTCTCAGATTGGTTACTTTTAAGACACACCCTGCGCTGGCCTGACCTCACTAAGACACCCTTATAGGATCATATCCACAGGTATGGAGGTCAGGATTCCTGCATGTATTTTGGGGGGTGCAGAAAGGCATGGTGGCAGTGGCATCTAACCTCCTCTAACTTCATGGGTGGGGACAGAATCACTGTCAACAGCCCAAGGCTGATTCCTATGAGGTCAGACATGCCACCATCCTCACCCTCTTTACCAACTCTGACTCCAGCCGTCCCTCCCTCGGCAGTTACTTCTCTGCTTGGTTCAATAACTGGTTGCCGTGGCCACAGAACTCACAGACGGCTCAGGTTCAGGAACGCTCAGGATACCACTCTTCAATCAGGGCAGCCTCCCTCCTGCCCTGCCTGCAGGCACACCTCTCTGACCCTCATCCTCCTGGCCTGGCCTCTGCCCTGCTCGGGCAAGTGCCGCAAAGCTCTTTTTGCTTTGTCGATAGGCACACCCATTCAACCAGCGAACTTCCTGCCCAAAGGCACTCAGCTTTCTCGCTTGTGGGCTGGCGAGCCTGCCGCTCGCTCTCACCGCTCGCTCTCCTGCTGGTCTCTGAGTTCTGCTGCCTCTTCTGCCGTTGGATTTCCCTGTACCATCTCGGTCTCAGCAAAGTGCTGCAGCTTGGTCTCTGTCTCCTGGGTCGAGGTGGCCCGGGCCATGCTCCACCCCTAGCTTTTGTATTTTGATAGTACTGAGATCTCCCTTCCACCTCTGGGAGGGCTCATTTTAAACCTAGTGAGATGGTACAACTGACCAATCCCCACGTTATGGTTCGATTCACCTTATTTTCATGGTCCCACCCACACAAGGGCACCGTGTACATTATTTACATCATTAGCAGGCTGTCCAGTCCCCTTGGCGGGCTGTAAGCACCTGACATTTGCATAGTCCCACCCAGTCATCTGGAGCTCTGGTAGCACAGTGCCTAAGGCATCTGACTGCTAACCAGAAGGTTGATGGTTCAAACCCACCAGCCACTCCACGGAACCAAGACCGGGCAGTCTACTTCTGTAAGATTTACCACCTCGGAAACCTAATGGGCGTCGCTATGAGTGGGAATCGACTCAGTGGCCATGGGTTCGGTTTTTTGGTTTGGTACCCGGTCATCTGATGGGAGTCACACAAACCACAGCTAAGAGAACCAGACCAAGTCATTCCCTGCACCACGGGGGACCCAGTTCAGTCTCTAACTTAACGTCACTTAACTTCTCTGGGCCTGAGCCGTGGGGCTGTGGAAGGAAAGAACTGGACGAGGAGACCCTGACCCTTCAGAAACCACGTTCAGGGAGGTGCCCGCCGCCAACGCAAGCGGTGCTGGTCGGCCCCTCCCACATCAGGCTGCGGGCAAAACTGCTCTTAACAGAAGGTCCCTGGGCTTGCAAGCAGGCAAGAAAAGCATTAAAAAAAAAAAACCCACACAGTGGTGCTTCACACCCAGGGGCTCTGGCGGCCAGAAGCCCCGGGTGCAAATCCTAGGGCTGCTGCTCACGCCTCTGGTCCTCAGTTTCCTCGCCCACAGAAGGCCCCTGTGGAGGAGGGCTGAGCGAGCCCAGCCGCGGGAGCTCAGAGCCCGGCACGCAGTCGTTAGCTGACGTGGTGTCAGCCCCCAGCGCGTGGCCACCCCATGCACAAGGGAACGAGACACTGTCCGGTCCCGCGCCGTTGCCCGGTCGGTTGCGTGTTGGAGCGTAACAATCCCACAGGGTTTTCTTGCACTGGTTTTCAGAGTAGATGAGCAGGCGTTTCCTCCTGGTACCTCTCAGCCTGGCAGCCCCACTGCAGGCTCGTCGGCAGCACGTTGTTGTTAGGTGCTGCCAGGCTAGCTCCAACGAACAGGGACGCACAACAGAACGAAACGCTGTCCAGGGCTGTGGCCGCCTCAGGGTCAGTGCCACGGCTGAGCCCATCGTTGCAGCCAGCGTGGCAGTCGGTCTTGTTGAGGGCCTTCCTCTTCCTCGCCAACCCTCTACTTCACCGAGCACCGTATCCTGTCAGCACCATAGCCACATGCAAGCCACCACTTGCCGACGGGCGGTGGCTGCACGAGTTGGATCAGCTGGGAATCGAACCCAGGTCTCTCACACGGAAGGGAACCACCTGTGCCCCTCTGGCACACGCCGAGTTCTCGGTAAGCTCCAGCTCCTTGCCTCCTCCGTGAGGCCCCGGGGATGCAAAAACGGTCAGCGCACTGAGCTGTAACCGAAAGGTTGAGTGTTGCGAGTTCACCCACAGGTCCCTTGGCAGGAAGGCCTGGCGAACAGCTTCTGAAAAGTTAGCCGCTGAAAGGAGTACAGTTCAGCTCTGCCCTGGTCACTGTGAAGCAGGACCGACTTGCTGGCAACTGGACCTGCCTCGTGAACCGAGCTGCCCTCCCAGAGAACCGTTAGTGGTTTTAGGTGCCATGGAGTCGGGTCTGACTCATAGCGACCCTAGGTACAACAGAACACAGCACTGCCCGGTCCTGCGTCAGCCTCACGATCCCTGCGACACCGAGCCCGTCATTGTAGCCACTGTGTCTGGCCATCCCTGGAGGCCTTCCCCTTTCTTGCTGACCCTCCACTTTTCCAATCACATCCTTCTCCAGGGAACGGTCCCTTCTGACAACACGACCCAAGTACACAAGACAAAAGTCTGGCCACTCTTGCTTCTAAGGAACATTCTGGCTGCACTTCTTCAGGACAGATTTGTTTGTTCTGGCAGTCCCTGGTATTCTCAGTGTTCTCTGCCAACGCTACAACTCAGAGGCATCAATTCTTCTTCAATATTCCTTATTTACTGTCGAGCTTTCACACACGAGGCAGAAATACTATGGGTTGAGTCAGGTGCACCTTAGTCTTCAAGGTGACATCTTTGCTCCTCAGCACTTTAAAGAGGTCTTTTGTTTGTCGCAGATTTGCCCAGTGTAATGTGGGAGAACTAGAGACCAGGAAGCAGAGGTGACGCTCTTAGGAGACATTTAGGAAGTGCAACTCTATCAGAGTTCAGAAATCCAGGACTGTTTACAGAGCCAGGTTGTTAACACGACTGAAGGAAATGGGCCAAGAATGCATCAAATCTAGAGCGACGTGGAAATACTGCTCTTTCAATTCTACCAAGAACACCCAGGAAACAACAGTGCCAGCCCCCTAACAAATGGGAACAAGCACTTAGCCAAGTCCTGGGGACTCTGGTGAAAAGCTCACATGCCATCTATTCCGCTCCAGCCATCTGGTGCCCCCAAGAAACGGGCCGGCATTGTCAGACTGACTGGTTCTCAAGAGGAGCCAGAAACCCAGATTCTTGTGCAGAAATGGGGTTTCTGAAGGCTGGCAACCAATTCCATTTTCTGTAATGAAAACACAGTGAGGGGCAAAAAAACACTCGTAAAAAGGAGGGTGGGACGGAGCGCGGCTGCTCGTTTGCAAGCCCCAACACGACTTCTCTCGAAGGTCTGGGAAGTCGTGAGCCAAGACAAGCCAACTCCTTGAGGGCTTGTCTGATGTCTCTTCCCAATGGAGCTGGGAGGAGCTGACCGTCACGGGGAACCCAGTCTCTCACCTTCCTGTTCCTCCCTGACCTCCAGCTGCCTGCGTCTGGCTGATGGCGCAAAAGCAGAGGTAGAGAGGGGGGCCAGGAAGAATCCCGCCTCAGTTACCAAATCCTACTGTAACAGAAGTACCACAGGGGTGGCTTAACAAACAGACATTTTCTCTCACAGCTTAGGAGGCTAGAAGTCTGAATTCAGGGCACCAGTTCGAGGGGACACCTTTCTCTCGCTGGGCTCTGGGGTTAAGTCCGTCTCTTCACCTTGCTTCCTGGTTCCTTGGCATCTGTCTCCCCTCATCCCTTCTTGCGTCTTCTATTCCTTTTATATCTTGTAATAGATTGACTCAAGACACACCTTGCCCTACGCCTGCCTCATTCACATAAAGAAGACAGTCCATTCCCAGATGGGTTAATAACCACGGGCATAGCGGTTCGGATTGACAACACATATTTTTGGGGGGCACCATTCAACCCACAACATCCCCCAAACACCAAAAGAATGGGACAAGGAGTAGCGAAAGAGAGAGGTGTTATTTTCCTCTGTTTATTTCAAGAGAACAAAGAATCAACTGTCAATTCTGTACAAAAACATGGCATCAGGGCAGTGGTGGTCTTGGGCCAGTCCCCTCCCCCAATATGCAAAAAAAAAACCCCACCAAAAACCAGGACATGAATCAGAAAACCCAAACTCTGGGGAAAAAAATGACTATGAGAAAGCAGGGGAGCCCTTCTCAGGCCTCCCCTCCTCCCTGTCCCCAACCCAGAAGGGTGTGGGTGGGGGCTGTGTTCATGGGGAGGGAGGCTGGGCAGGGTGTCAGCAGACTTAGTGTTGGCACCCAGGGGGGTTGGGGAACAAGTGCCTTGGTGAGGGAAAAAGACCCCCAACCCTGCCCCATCCCATCCGATACTGTGGAAACAGTTTATAAAAATCGGGCCAGCAAGAAAGGTCATCAGATCCAAAAACTAAATAGTGAAAAGATTTTTTTTTTTTTTGTTTCTTCTTCCCAAAAAAGGCAGAGAACTACAAACAGCCCAGGTCCTGAGCTCCTCGAAGACGTGGGTCTTTCACTGAGCCTGCCCCCAAACCTGGCAGGAGGGGCAACGGGGAGCAGGGAGAGACTGGTTCTTTAAAAAGTCCTCCCTGGGTGGGCAGGAGGCTCCCGGTCTCCCATCACGTTCCGGTGCCCGCCGCCGCCAAGCAGAGGGGTCGCAAGGGCCGGGGCTATGCTGGCAAACTCAACTTCTTCCCCTTTAGGACTGAGAAAAGAGAAGGAGATGGGCGTTACCACAGGGCCCTGCAGTGGGAGAGGGCAGCCTCCCATACTCGGGCCTGGGCCTGGGCGCTGGGCTGGGCAGGACGCGGGGTGGTCCTAGGATGCTTCAGGTCATAAACCACAGGGAAAATTAAAGCAAACCAGAGCCCACGGCCCTCAGTTCAGTTCCAACTCGGGGCCACACATCAGAGTAGAGTTGAGCTCCAGGTTTCCGTGGCTGTAATGGTATGGGAAAGTGCCCTGGTGGTGCAGTGGTTAAGTGCTGGGCTACTAACTGACAGGCTGACGGTTCAAACTCACCCCGCCAGCTGCTGCCAGGGACCAAAGGGCTGACAGATCCCATAAACTGCCTGTGGGGCAGTTCCACTGTGTCACGTAGGGTCGCCGTGAGGCAGGATCGATGCAACGGCAATGGCGATATACAACTCTAAGAAGCCCTGGTGGCACAACGGTTAAGTGCTCTGCTGCTAACCCAAAGGTTGGCCAGAAAGCATCTACCAACAGTCTTTACAGAAGCAGATGGCCAGGCCTTTCTTCCACAGCAGCTCGGTCTGAAGCGCCAACCTTTCAGTTACTGGTGGAGCGCAAACCCTGTGCCCCAAGGGGATTGGCCTGAAGTCCCGAGGGGCGGGGCGGGGCCCTGGGCTCGCCTTAGGGGCTGAAGAGCAGAGGTCAAGGGAAGGCCACGTGTCTCCCAATACTGGCTACTCTTCTGCACGTTCAACGACCCCCTGGCAGGACCGTGGGTCTCTGAGGGAGGTGGGATCCGAGGGTCTGGGAGTCGCCTCCCAGGTTTTAACCCCCACGTCTGCTCCTCCCTCCCGAAGACCGAGGCCTCAGGTTTTCAGAGCTGACCCCACATGTGCACAGGCCCGTCCGCCCCTGCACAGCTTTTCCTCGACACGGCGCACGTTTCTTTCTTTCCACCCTTCTCACTCGGCAATGATGTCTTCTGTATTTCTATAATGTTTTGGAATCTCTTAAGGTACAAGGTCACTAGGATATAAAACCAAACCCAACCCACTGCCTGGAGCTCACTCTGCCTCACAGCGCCCCTAGAAAACAGAGTGGAACTGCCCCACAGGGTTTCCAAGGCTGTCAATCTTCACAGAAGCCGACTGCCTCATCCGTCTCCCATGGACCAGCTGGTGGGTTCGAACAGCCGACCTTTCAGTTAGCAGCAGACAGCTTTAACCAGTGCCGCCCCCCCCCCCCCCAGGGCTCCTTAGAAGATGCAGGCAGTAGCCTGAACTTCTACAGGGAAGGACTCTTGAAAAGGCAGCTCCCGTGACCTGCCCCCGCCCCCGCTTGATCATCACTCCAGCTGCTCAGAGGTCAAGGAAGGTCACTCGTCCCCCCTGAGGGAGGCAGCGCCTGAGGTCTGAACTGAAGTGGGGGGCGGGGGGGCCGAGAAGCTAGGAGCAGCAACCTGCCCCACTTCCCAGCCTATCTCGCCCCTCCACCCATGCCACGCCCCTCCACCCATGCCACGCCCACCTTGACACGCCCCCTCACCCATGCCACGCCCACCTTGACACGCCCCCCCCCACACACACACCCATGCCACGCCCTTCACTCATACCACATCCTTGGGCCTTGCTACCTTTGGTGATGTAGAGGTAGAAAAAGTCGCAATAGAGGACTGTCTGAACCAGGCCCGCCACGATGGCGATGAGGTCGAAGAAGCCCTCAAAGTGGTAGCGCCAGATCCAGTTGAAGAGATAGAGCGTGCGGTAGACGCCCAGCGCAAACAGGTAGTGGCTGGTGATGGTTTCCGCCTCGCCCGTCTTGCTGACCATGAAGAGCTGCGGCAGGATGGCCACGGACTCCAGGTAGATGGAGAAGGTCCAGAGGATCTGCAGGGAGGCGGGGGCGAGGGCCCAGGGGCGGCCGCGGAGGGCAGGGAGGGAGAGGAGGCCGCAGCAGTTACAGGCGCAGAGAGCAGGCGCGGCAGCACACGCGGCATGACTGAGTGCTGTGTGTACACTCAACAACCACAACCACAGAAATAGAATAAAAGGGAATAATAAAAACAGTACAAGTAAGGAGGGCTAGGGGCGTACTGTGTGGGCATGTGTGGTTCTGCTCATGCCAGGTGTGAGCCACGGATTGAATGGTGCCCCTCCAAAACCCACTGCTGTCGAGTGAATTCCTCCAACTCACAGCGCCCCTAGAGGACAGAGTGGAACTGCCCACAGGGTCCCCAAGGCTGTCAATCTTAATGGAACCACACCATTCTCCCACAGAGCAGATGGTGGGCTCTAACTGCAGCTGCAGCACAGCACTAAACCCCTGCACCACCAGGACTAACCCACCCACTGTACTTAAACCAAATACAGCTGAAATGGATTGATTTTTTTTTTCTCCTAGCTCAACAATTCTAAGGGGAGGAGAGAAAAGCTTTGGTGAGCTTAAGCATTGCACCACCAGGGCCCCTTGACCAAAGTGGGTGGGTCCTTAAACGAATCCCTGCTCAACGGTGTCTTAGGAACACCCTAAGGGTCGACACAGGTATAGGGGACATAGGTATAGGG